AGCCATAAAGAATGAGAAACTAGAGACATTTATAGCTAAATGGATGCATATTGAGGCCATACTCTTCAGTGAAATAAATAAGACACACATGTGTAAATACCAAATAGTTTCTCTAGTGTGAGAAACTGAAAGTGTAAATAAGGGTACACATGGATGAAATGGCCTAATAACATATTTCTCGGATTGTGTTTCCATTGCATGTCATATGACTGCATCGAAATTTAAATTAGGCAGAAGTTTGGCTTATGTGGAGTCTGCTAGATAACTGGAATTTTTTTCCAGATCATTATTTGTTCAGTGTTGGTTTTGGGGATCTTTCTGAAACAAAGCACATCCTCTAGTGTCTTGTTGGTGCTTGAGATGCTTTTTTTAAGTTATATGGAAAAATGTTTAAGTGCTTTTTAGTTTTGTTTTGGTTGAGTTCTACTGTATTTGAATATTATTGTAGTTTTTTTCCCCTTGCAAAAAAAAAAAAAGAGGTATTCCATTCCCCACCCCAGTGCTGCTCAGTTGCTACACCCCAGTTGTTGTCCCAAGCTGCTCAGACAACAGGCACAGCAGCCATGACTCCAGCACCCAAACAACCCTAGAGAAGAGTCACACCCAGGTCATCAGGATGTTTTCTTCCCTAGTACCTGAACTAACCTAGTGCTTAATCCCTGTGCATCAAAACTGGAGTCCAAAGGGGAAGCCATGACTCTGGAACTTGAGCCCATATGCTATCACCCCTGAGAAGAGCTGCAAACCCTCAGTCCCTGGATATTGACCAGTTCTCTGGAGTCTGAACTGCTGAGCTGCCTACCTGTTAAGGAGATAAGACATCATTGCACTGCTCTGTACCCACCTCCAGCCAAACCACAGCTCTGCCCAGCCTTTCTTTTGTGTCTGTGCTGCCTGTGAACTGAGCTTAACAGAGCCTAGACCACTGCTGTATCCTACCACTCCAGGGTCCCGAGTCACCCCACACATTGTGGTTTTTCCTGGTGCCCAATGGCCACTCTGCCCTCATGGCTCTAGGACCCAAACTGTAGCTGTTCTCCACTCCCCAGGGCTTAAACCTGTGGACTGCTGCTTATTTTCTAGAGCCATGTCCTTCCTGTGCCCTGACACCTAGGATCAGACTCACAGATGCATGTTGGCCTCCTAATCCCAAGTTACATATGTGCCCCAGAGTCTCAATCCTCAGCTACCTGGGAGAGCTGCCATGAGAGAGGGAAGCTATGCCTGTTTCTCAGGTGGCACAGTTGCTCAATAAGATATGAAGCCAAGAATCTCAGTTCAACAACCACCCCAAGAACCTGTGTCCTTAAACTTTATGGCAAGAGTGATTCCCTTCAGCTAAATCTGACCATTGTGGGAAAAATAAGAACCCAAGAATTTCTAAAGCCCTTGATGCTGAAAGTCTTAACAAATTACCTCACCACCACCATCATCACAAAGTCTTGCAGCCTAGGCCACTGAGGCCCCTTCAGGCATCACTGAAATTGATTAGAACAGAGGAATCTGTAGAGCCTGAATTACTGTGCCCACTGGAGCCAGAGCCAGAGCAGCTCCCGAACCGGTACCCTAGGAACCACTTCCGAGTGAAAGTCTGACACTACAAAAGCACACCACATGGTTGGGAAAGGCCGATGATCTACCATCTGTGCAGACATTAATGCTATGACAGAAGAGCATGAAAAGACAAGGAAAAATAACTCCATCAAAGGAACAGCATAACTCTGCATTAGCTCACTCCAACCCAAGAGAAATGGATGGGTTGTCTTTAAAGAAATCCAAAGTCACTAACTTAAGGAAATTCAGCAAGATAACAAGAGAACACAAGCAGTTACATGAAGTTTAACATGGACAGCTGATGCAGCTGGTGGTGAAGTGTTCAAATAGCTATAAATACAAAACTGGAGCAAAGAGGCAGTCCTATTCCCAATCACAGGTACAATTACTTCCTGCCTTATGGAGTGAGCAATCACAGGAGGATTCCTTACAAACCCAAGGAAGGGACTGGCAGGCAGGGGCTGTGCCTGCAGTGGGACTGCCAGGTAGATGTTGGCAAAAAAGAAGGTTTATTGTGAATGACGGAACCATCGATGGAGAGGAGAGAAAGAAACCCTAAGTTCTTGTTTCTTGCATCTACAATTTTCCTACCGGTCACTCATATTGATCAAAACCAGCAGAAGTCAGGAGGCCTGCAGAGCGTGCTTCACACAGAATAGTGCCAGGGTTATAGAGCCAAGCAGGGAGGGACAGGGAATAAATCTGAGCATGAAAGAAGTACCCCAAATTTTATGCAAAATATTGTTCAGACTCACATGTTAATAAGGCACAATCTAGTTCGGGTCCTGTGACTTGTAAGTTTGACACATGTTTTGTAAAGCTACAAACTGTATTTAATGCAGAAAAGTTGTACAATAATTTCTGTGCTGAGCATTTTAATTAACTTCTAACCATTTCTTTCACGGGTAAGAAGACAAATGCAACATTTATTATAGGTGTTAATGAAGTATATGGGAGTTGTTTTAAAATGCATCATAAGTACTAGAATCAATGAATATTAATATATTACCATACAAAAATGAAGAACAAAAATAGTTTATTCTATAGAATTACAACTTATTAACATAGGTGTTTATGCCACTTCCATTTATCAGTTATTCTGCACACAGTACTGCGTACAGGCCAATGCACAGTGCCTGACAGGTGGGTGCCCGCTGGCTCACAGCCACAACTCTGAGGGAAGAGTAACCTGGCTGAGCCTCATTTTTTCAAATACGAGTAACAAGCTGCCTTTCATGAGCATTCATAAATGTACCTTGAGCCATCTAAGAAAGTATGAAAACATAACTCGTAAATTATAATGTCCTCTATGATTAGTAGTTTCTGATTCAGTACTCATTTCCTTTTGCTCACGTGCTGATGATTTTCGAGGACCAGATAAACTAACAGTAATCCAGGAACCTACAAAGGGAGAGAAAGGGCTGAGATGAACCTCACTTCCTGTGTGACGTGTTCAGCCACATAGCTTCTCTTGACCATCCTTGAATATCCATCAGGCCTGCTCCAAAGGCCAAGGAGCAGAACAGCCTGGGCCTGGCATCTCAGATCCTCTCTCGGCAACAGAAAAAGCTCAGCCCGTAGTTGCCTTCAACCTTCTCATTCTCCAGGCACATCCTTCTGCATTTGCCCCGACCGAGCCTGCACGTCTTACAAGCACCCTGCTCACCTGTGGAAAACAACTGCTGAGACAGCATCCCTGGAGCTTAGAGGAAATGGGGAGCAGGTCGAGGGCCCCCAAAAGGGACAATTTGCACCACATGTGATTAGGAAGATTATCTTCAAGACAGTCCCAGGCTTCACAAAGAAATTCTGCTCTTTGCAGTATGGAGTCAGAGAAAGTTATAAGCAAGAAATAACCACAGCTCCTGCTCTCCCACTGTTCAGTCTCACATGGGATAAAAGCAGACAAACTAGTGTATGTGGTGTAGAGGTCCAAAGACACCTGCCTGAAACCCAAGCTTCCTAAAGGTAAATAAGAGGATATTCAGGATGAATAAGAGGATATTTATCTAAAGGTAAAACAGAGGATATTATGGATTGTTTCTTGAAGACAGAGTGAAGAACTTGTGGCTCAGTTCCTGTCTAGGTCTAGTGATGGCCATGTGTCCTCAGTAAATGGCTTATCTCAGCTCACTCGTGTGTCCTCCGGACATTCCAGAAATATCTTCCTACATTTTTCATTGGTATAGCGGTCAAATGAAATAATTCACATGAGAATAGTTGAGTTATAATAGTACCTATCTCACAGGATTGTCCTGAAGATGGAACAGCCCAGTCCAGGTGCAGCAGCTAACCAAGTGCCTGGTAGAGTCAGCAATCTGGAGCAGCCTTCCTATTCCTCACCTTGAAATGCACCTGAACTCATTGCAATTTTGTCTATAATTACCCAAGAATACTCTTTTCAATTCTGTTTACACTGTGCTGAACCCAGATGCTATAAAAAATACTGATCAGTCTCACAGGTTAAAAATGAGTGACCCTGTATAAGATGACCCCACAGAAAAATAACTGTGAGCTGTTCACTGTGAAGAGCTCTTGTGCATGAGTTTTCACACTGCCATCCCTACTACAGTACTTGATCCTCCTTACACCACAAGGTGGAGTTAGCAGGGTGGAATTCAAGCAATTCCTCTTTCAGTGCTGTAACTCCTCCATGGCCCCATAATCAGAGAAAACTAACAGGGCTAGAGTTCTCAAGAGAAAAGAAAAAATGGCATAGAGGCTGTGTAACTTACCTGCTGGAAATGACGGGGCATAATCAAGTCCTGCCTGGCACCCTAAATGTAAAATAAAATAGACTTCAGAAATGAATGTCAATGGAGGAAATAACACTGCTAAAAAGTTTTCTTACATGTGACATGGAACAGGTGACAGAGCTGCGATTTTATTCTGTTTCTTCAGGACAGCACCATAGTAACCAGCACGACCAAGCTATGGGAAGAAAAGAGAATGAGGGGGAGGAGCAGGAGAGAAGGAGAAGGAGAAGCAATGTAGAATTTGACTCTGAAAATGTGTCGCTGTAGATCCAAGAAATTTCTAGGAGAAGCACTCCAAGGATCTGAATTTTACTTTCAATTTGTGGGCGGTACATAGACAAAATCACCAAGCTTTCTGATCTGCCTCATCAAAAGCCTTCCATTTTTCACCTACCTGACTGCAGCTGAGCCACAATGAAGAACAAAATGAAGACAAAGTAAAACATTTTCCTGCTTGGGGCTATCTCTGAGGGTGGCTTTTCAGAACAGGGGTACCAGATCCCTCCCAGGACAGGAATCTTATTTACATTTGAAAGTAGTGGGACATGCTCTTGGTTAGTGAAGTGAATCAATATAGAAGACACAATTATATGCTCCATTTCCCAGGACCAAAGGCTGATATCATTTTAATAACCTTGGCACAAGAAGTCTTATATTCGGGGAGTCTGACTCTCTGCTGACAATGCGATGAACACGCAGCTAGGAGCTGATTGGCCAGGGGTCACTGCTGCAGTGATGCAGGGGTGAAGACCCAGTTTCTGCTCTCATCACTTTGAGATCATTTTTCTTGGGCAAAACAAGAAGCACTGCCTATGTTCTGCCTCTTCTCCAGTGTGTGGTGAGGATCCAGGAAGATACTGACCCCAGGGCTTTGAACATGTGCTGCCCGCAGCCTGACAAAACCCTGCTGGAATTCAGCATCTGTGCATGCTTACTCTCTCTGCTTCAGGTTTATGGTCTGTAACTGTGGCAGGAGAAAGGGAGGCAAGCACTCACTTCCCGGAGTGAACATCACATAGAACATCACATCACACACCCAAGTCGCAAATACACCATTTACTTCATTAAGAACAGGAGTATCAAATGTAATCTTTATATCAATGTCCTCTTTCCAAATAAATCGTGCTTATTGCCACCTTGCTGCCTATATTTATGTGATTGTTTGTTCTTCATTTGGGGTTGCAAAAATAGAAAATTTAGAAAATGTAGACCATGGAGTCAGACAGACTCACCAAGTATATGCCCTAGAACAGAACATGTAACTTTTTTCTCAACCTTAAAGCGAGGACACAATGCTAATACCTATTTCACAAGGTATTGGAGAGCATAGAGTTTATAAGGTACATATATTGCTGAGCAGAGTATCTGGTTATCGTTACTCCTGCTACCACAGTCAGTTTTCTTTCTACACACATTTACAGCAACTTTTCTGTAAATTCTTTTTCAAACCCAGTAATTCATAATTAACCTTTCCTGATGTATAAAAGGCATATGTGTTGCTACTTTTATGGTTGTTTTTGTGATTCGCAAACATTTCAGCTTCAGGAGCCAGGGTAATAAATGTGTACATGGAAGACAGAGCAGAGGGCTGAGCCTGTGCACTTTCAGCCTTTAGACTCTCTCCTCTCTCTCTTCTTCTTCTTCTTCTTCCTCTTCCCTCTCTCTCTCTCTCTCTCTCTCTCTCTCTCTCTCTCTCTCTCTCCAGGGATAGAACCCAAGGCATTTGCACTAAGCTACATTAAGGGATTTTTTTAAATTTCAAATTTTGATCAGTGCCTTGTTGAGTCGCTCAGGCTGGTCTTGAATTTACGATCCCCTTGCCTTGGTCTCCCGGAGCACTGGGACTGCAGGTGTGTGTCACTAGGCCACACACATTTCTAATTAGCTGGCATGGGGATGGCTCTGTGGGCATTTGATGGAAACACAGAGTTCCTGCCCACTCACTGGGCTTCATGTTCTCAAGTTGCTATATTAAAATCCTTAATTCTGCCTTTGAGTTTTAAATTTCTAATGGGACCGTGCAGCATGTGCTGGCAGTTTAGCCTCAGCTCACAAGTATGCCAGCCTTCCTTCCCCTCCTCCCTTCCCAAGGAGACTTGGCCAGCTGTGCTCTGCTGTCAGGACACCCAGCTCTACTTCACTGCCTTCTTTCTATACCTGTCCAGCAACTCCCCACGCTGCAGGGAATCGAGTGGGTGTGCATGAGCTTGGGGTTGAGACCCTGAGCCCTGGGGTTGTGGTCAGTAGTCTCTTCTGGGGCCAACAGTACCATGGAGCAGACAGGTGGCCTGGCAGGAGCATGCTTCTCAGCAACCTCAAAGTCAGCAGCTGCCGCATCCTGGCACAGAGGCTGCAGTGCCCTTGGGGTTTGCCCAGTCGTGGGTGGAGGACACTTGGCTAGCTTCTGCCTAGGGCGAGGCACACAAGCCTGGACAGATGGCTGGAAGAGATACTAGCAGACTGTGGGCCACACACAGGTCCAGGGAAGGGGCAAGATGGGTGTCCCCAAGGGGCATCTGCCTCTTGTGGGCCCCTGTGCCCATGACAGAATGACAGTGAATAGCAAAGAAAATTACTGTGGTCCATTGCACCCATGTTCTCTCTTCCTATCTTAGACAAACCCTGCAGCTACAAGACAGCAAGCCACTCCTGCCCTCAGAGAAGTCTCACCCACAGTCCCCAGCTCGCAGGCCAGCAGCAGCATCTGCACACCTGAGCCCCTGTGACTGGCCTCCCCCTTGGGAAGGGCCATGGCCTCTCTGCCTCATGGTGGCTGCACCGCAGATGGCCTCCGGGGAGGACAACCCCTTTCGTGAAACTTGGTCAGTCACGGTCCCAGCAGCCTAACATGCCACTGCCCCTCTGGCCCGCCCCCTTATTGCCCTCTTCTTGATCAGCCCCCCCAGTTTGGAGCTCAGCACCACTGCACAGAATTCACTGGGTCTCACAGGTCTGTTGCCCCTGCAGTGTAAGCAGGAGCCACACCTTCCTTGGGAGAGCTCGGTGTCTGTTTGTGAGAATCAGGTGAGATGCCACAAATTTCAAGTCTAAAGAAGCAGCCATGTGAAACCAGGATCATGAAGTGGCTTGTCCACTGCCTTGTGAATATTCATTTTCCCCATGGGGTCCAATGAAAAGTCTCTTATGTTTGCAATCTCAGTTTGTTGGCAAATTAGATGAGCTAGTAAGGCAAATGAGGGAGCATATAACTGAAAATGTTAGGAAGTTTATCTTTTCTTGTGCATTTAACTCTTTTGTGTGTGTGTGTGTGGTATGGGGATGGAACTCAGGACCTTGCGCTTGTGAGGCAGGCAGTGGCACCACTGAGCTAAATCCCCGGCCCCATTTAACTATTCTCAGTAAGGTCTAGAAAGGAATAGATGAAGTGTATATTCAATCTGTCATTCTTAACTGGGTTATTCATAGTCTCTAATCAGTGTGCACAGAAAACTAACAAAAACGACATGTTATAGAGACAAAAAGTACATTGGGATGCTCTCTGATACTTTCTTTTGATAAAAGTTATTTTATAATTATTTTATATTTACAGAAAAGTTAGAAAGATTATACAGAGTACTCTCATACCCTTCCCCAAGGTATTCACAATGTTAACAACTTTTGTAAGCATTGTACATTCTTCACCATTGTGAAACCAACATGAGTACATTACTACTGATTAAAATAGGGAATTCAAGGTAGTCCTTGTGTTCACAGGACTGAACTGGGGTTTGGGATGTGGGGAAGAGAAACCCTGAGCTGCAGGGTCCTCCTAGCCTCCAGCACGTAAGGGTGTAAACTCAGCAGGAAAGAGCCTCGGTTGTTTGGCTAACGTGGTGTCTGAAAGATTTCTCCACATAAAGTTCTTGTTTCCTCTTCCTATTATGTGCTCTTGGGAGGCAAGTTATTTTCATTTATGCCACGTGAAATTCCTATGATAGTGCTCCCTTTTCTCACACTCGCTTCCTTATTCAGTCCTCGATATCAATGGGACATGACGAAGTAAACTGATGATCTCATCTGGATTGCAGAGGAAAACCAGGGTTTCAGTACCACAACAATGTGTTGCTGTTTTTCAGAGTTTTGTGTTTTGACAGATGTTTCTAAGACCTCTCAACTTTTAATAGTGGAGGGATGAGGGAGATTATTTTTCTCTCCAATTTCATATTTTCTTAAAGAAATAGGTATCATTCTCCACCTCACAAAGGAGAAGATGAAAAGTGGGTGATCCAGGCCTTTCTTCACCCCCACATAACTGCATAACTGATAGGATAACTTTGCTCCCAGAGTAGTAAAGGGACTTGAAGGAGCTGGTAGGAGCCTGGGGTGCAAGCTGTGCTTTTGCACATGGAGAACGACCTCACTGTTAAAGGCAATGTTTCTGTCTAGGATTTTTAAAGATATTTGGATTTTAATACACATTTTAACAATGAAAGTACTGCTGCTGCTACTACTACTACTACTACTCACACACACACACACACACACACACACACACACATCTTAGTCCATCTCCAGTAAGTTCAAAGCCATCTGGACGAAATGGGACTGCACCTAACACTTAAAGTAGGCAGCAAACAGCAAGATGCACATTTTCTTAACAATAACGGAGTAGATTCTGGGGCCAATCCTTCTGCCAAGTGCACACAGCGCTCTAGTTGAAGCTGCAACCCAGATGTGGTCTGACCGCGGGGCACCATCTGTTCACTGAAGCAGCGCTGTGCTGTGTAATGACCTCCCTGCTGCACACAGTATTTGAAGCCACTGAGGAAGAGTGAGCATTAGAAATACACACCTCCAGCTCCAGGCACTTGTTTGTTCTGCCACAGTCATGTGCATTCTGTCTCTACTCTGTGTTCTCGCTCTTGGGAACATTCCAGAATTAGAAAAGTACAAGCTGTAGACTGACACCCGCTGAATTCTGAGAGCCCTACGAAGCAGAACATGGAAAATTCATTCCTGCCGAGCCTCACTGATCAAAATGCCATTCAGTCTTCAGAAGAGGATAAATGTGCGTGCTGCCTGCCCTTTCTCATGGACACTGCGCTGACCTCCCAGGGCGCTCCAAGTCATGAAGACGCTCCTCTTTATCTGTGCTGTTCTTTTCTTTCTGGCCCCAGGTAAAACAAGCCTCTGTGTAGGGAAGATGACCAGAAGTAGCAGCAGCCCAGACAGGGGGTCTGCCCCTGCGAATGCCTGGGCATGGTGAACCCCAAATGCAAGGGGGCCCTGCAGGGAAACATTTGCCTGAGAGGGGCACTTTTCTGCAATGCGTCTTCCTAAATGCTCTGCATTTTCCATTATTATCTAGGAAAGGCTGTCATAGGTTTGAATAAATTAAGGAATGCCATGAAAGATGCCAGCTGTTGCCTGGTCTCATGCTCACTTACAGTAGCAAAACAAGAAAGTGGGCAGTAAATTGAAAGCAAAGGAAACATTCTTTTTTAATGTAAAAGGTGTGGATCTTTTAAAATATGATTATCGGCCAGATACGGTGGTGCATGTTTGAGACCCCAGGACTCGTGGAGGCTGGGGCAAGATGACCACAAGCTGGAGCTCAGCTGGGGAAAACTGGGGGGCCACTGTTTCGCTACAAATAGCGCAAGGCCTTACAGCATCGAGAGGACAGAGAAGCACGGACCAGTGCAGTGGGAGCCCGCGTTCTCTGGACTTTGGAATAGTCGGGGATTTGTACTTTGAACAAGTGTGCTGATGCTAGATAATACCTCGTCGGTGGCACGCACCTATCTGGTGCACACCTCGCGTGCATGTGAATTGTGCACTGTGTGTATCGACATGAAATGCAGTCTCTCTCGGGGTATGATGCCTCCGTTGCACACTCCTCAATGAGGCTACTCTAAAATGTTGATCCTATCTATTGTCTAGCTTTACGTTGAAACGGGCTGCTCCTATGATTGGTACTGATAAAGTGTTAAAGCCGGCACTGGAATTCTAGGCAAAACAGCGGAGAAGAATATCAGGAGATGTGGACATCCTCACTGCGCCGTCCCGCAGAGCCCGCCTTCCCAGCCAGGGTGCTGACACAAGAGGCAGTGGGCGACCCTTGCCTCAGCCTCTGCATTTCCTGTCTGCCACAGCAAGCGTTTCTGTCTCCTTATCCCTTATTATACTGCTCTGAGCCCTGTTTCCACTCCCAGCCCATTCTCGACTCTCACCAAGTAGCAATATTTCAAAGTATGTTGAGGAAGTTCTTGAGAGTTTGCCTGAATTCCTTTTTTTATTAGTACGTGTTTGCAGTTCATAATAATTACATTCCCTGTGCAGAGGTAATGTGCATAACACATCTTCACTCCTCTTCCCGTCACCTGCCCCTCCTTCATCCACTCCTGATCCCCTTTGGATTTCAGGAAGATCTGTCTCCCTACTTCCTACAATCTCTTTTGTTTTGCTCTTCATTTATAATTTGAGTTTCTTGTATAAGAGAAAGCATGAAATATTTAAGCTGGTGTGTCTGATTTATTTCACTTCATAGTATTGTCTCAAGGTGCATCCATTTTCCTACTCATGACTCATGTTTATCTTTATGGGAGGGTGGTGCTCCACTGTGTATAAGTATCACATTCTCTTTATCCCTTGATCTGTTGATGGACATATAGGCCACTGCCAAGATTTAGCTATAATGAATTGTGCTCTTTTAAACATGGGTATACAAGTATCACTGTACTGTGATGTCTAACTCTTTTGGGAAGATAACTAGAAGGGGAATAGCTGGGTCACATAGAATGTCTAGTCTTAGTTTTGGGGGCAGTTTCCATACTGATTTTTGTAGTGTTTATGCTAGTGGACATTGCCATCAACAGTGTAGAAGATTTTCTCTTTCTGCGTAATTTTGCCAGCATTTGTAATTATTTGATTTCTTGATGATTTCTACTCTTTCAGGGGTAAAATGGAACCTCAGTGTTGTTTTCATTGGCGTTTCTTTGATGATTGATCTGGTTGAACCTTTCTTCATGTATTTATTCACCATTGGCACTTGTTCAGTGAAGTAACTTTTCATTTCACTTGCCCATTTTTTGATTGAGTCTTTTATTTGGAGGGTTCTAATTTTTCAGGTCTTTATATACTCTAGATAATAGTCATCTTTCTGCAAAATAGCTGGCAGAAAGTTTTCCCTATTCTGTAGATTTTCTTTTCACTCTGTTGGTTGTTTCTTTTGCTATGCAGAAGCTTTTACATTTGATATGAGACCATTTGTTGATTCTCAGTACTATTTCCTATGCAACTGGGTTCTGTTGAGAAAGTTCTTGCCTACACTTATGACTTCAGGAGTTTCAATAGCCCCAGTAGATTTGGATAATGGAATATTAGCCTATGTTTCCTGCAGCTCTGCATAGCCTAATTAAAATTATTTGAAGACAATTCAATTCTTTCCAGTATTTCAAGCTATAACAACAAAAACAAAGTAGAAATATCACAGAGAAAAAATTTTCCTACATCTCATCTACTGACAGGGTTAGGCACTATGGTAGCTTGTAAGAAAAAAATCTTCACTGACATTGTTTGACTGTATTAGCTGGTAAGCAGACACATTTGCAAAAGAATAATCCAGTTGGCTCTTGCCCTTCTGTAGCTAAGAATGAGTTTTTTGATGCCAAATGCCACAAGCTCAAAGGGAAATGCAAGAGTTCATGTCAGAAGAATGAAGAACTTGTTGCATTCTGCCAGAAGTCTCTGAAATGCTGCCTGGTACTCCAGACCTGTGAGCTAAATGAAAGCAACAGTTAAGACTGAGGTCTTCGGCTGCCGAGGGAGACATGGGTTTCCCGGGTGCTGCTTTGTGCCCTGCACTCGGCTGTACGCAAATATGTCAATAAAAAATCGACGACTTCTTGTCAGTTTGTCACACGCTCTGTTTAGAACAGAAAACATGTCTGTCTAAACCTGAGGAGCCTTCCCTCCTGCTTTGTTTTGTTATAATTTTCTGATGCGATAACTATCCTGAAGATATCTAAATTTCTCTATAAAGGGGGACTAGAAAGTAGTATAATAAGCAAACCGAATTTTCTCACAGGCAGTGGACTTCCACCTATTTATTCAGGGGTGTGTGTGTGTGTGTGTGTGTGACAGAAAAAGTAGAGAATGGATATATATCTAGATAGTTACATTAATAACAGATGACAGATATTCTACTTATAAAGAACTCCCATGTGTCACACACCAGTCTAAATTAATCATCTTGATTGAGGTCAATTAAGCATATCTTGTAATTGCCCCTACCTCTAGCTTTCAGATTCAATTTGGGGGCAGCCAGAGGAATATAAACATCCATATGTTTTTCAGTAGCGCCAGTGGGAGCCACCTGTGCCCCAGGCTCACTTTCTACTGTTTCCGGGGCACTGGCCATCAAGCCACCCCCAGCCTCCAAGCCTCGGTGTCACCGGTGTGGTCAGAAAGCATCTTTCCAAATTCGTGTTGAACCCTAATCCCCATTGCAGGGTATTTGGGTGCCCAGTCCTGAGGACCCACCTGTAAGCTTTGGGGCCTTCCTCTTCTAGAAGAGAGAGAAGGAGCTGCCTGGCTCCTTCCGTGCCCTGCAACACAGCACCCACCCTGCCAGCCCTCAGGAGACAGTAACAAGGCTCTACTTCGGGAGCGGGAATGGGTCCTCCTCAGGGACCAAATTTGCTTCCATCTTCACCTTGGAATTCCAGCCTGGACGCTGCGAGTCCTAAATGTCTACTGTTTAAACGAGGCTGCAGAGCAGCGCTTTATTGGCTCTGTGAAGACAGGAAGACAGCTTCCTAGTTTACGAGCTTACGTAGAGAGTCCCTATCAGATTTCCTGTGCCTAAGCCCTGACTTTGCTCCCTTGCTGAGTCAGCAATCTTTCTTTACTGTCTTCCCAGTTCCTCAAGGTCAATGTACTTGACTGTATGGGGACCAATGACACTTTCATGACAGTAACGATTTAAGTACACTCTCTTTTCTTTTCGTTCCTTACTACATTTTTCATCAAAATGGTCTTTTAAAAAGTGGCAGTGAAGCTGTGACTCACAGAGGCCTCTGTCAGCTCGTGAGCCCAGTCACCCCAGCCTTGGCCCAGCAGCCCAGCCCGAGGGGCAGGGAACTAAGGGCAGTGCTGCCACTCAGCACTTTGCAACAAATAAGCAGTTTTGGGGTTGCAGTTTGGGCACTCGGTCTCTGAAAGTTTCACCATCAATGGCCTACAGGATAATCGTTCATTTAATGCCCTATGTAAATAATCAGGACAAGTTTAATGAGACCAAAACAGTTTCATAAAACAGATTAGACTTATTGTGACTGTATTTGGTTTAAATGTGGGCAGCTATTATAGAAAAATATTATAAAACCACAGTACTTCCTTCTGGTTTTTTTTTCCCATCAGGCTTTGTTATTTACCTGGAAATTGCCCCGTCCTCAAATGCTTGCACTCTGGACATGAACAACCTGATGCAATTGCAGGGCCCCTGCACTGACAGTGTGGAGGACTCCCACAGAGGCCATCGAGACACCAGCTGTGACGACCAGAGGCACTCAGAGCACACACCAGGAAAATCACCAGATGGCAACTGCATCCTCATCCTACCTCTAGGGATGCTTTGAGCTGAAACATGAGCCTTTTCCTAATTGTTTTCTGGATTCCAAGACTGGGCTCATAGTTTGTTGCAGCCATTAAGCTTTGGTTTAGCTTTGTTTCCACAGAAATACCCCTTGGTTGTGGTTAGTTTGGATTATGAGGACCCTGGCTCCAATGTCTTCACTGATAACGTGATTCTGATAGTGGTCGTGCAAATAATCTCTCAAGGGCTCCAGTGCATATTTATAGCCACGCACTGCGCAGCAAGTGGCCTCACTGTCATTAGCACAACACAAACATGATGAAAAGTAAAGGCTAATTTATTGATACTGTTTTTTCAGTGAACCTGATGGTATGACTTCCTAGTCTCCTGCTGAGACAAAAGACAAGCCGGCCCTACTGGTGACAGAGGGTGCCACATACATCCGACTTTTCCTCACGGAAGTCAATAAAAAACCGTAAGACTGAGTAAGCTTCAGTGTCCTGCATTCCCACGTAAGCCAAGTAAAACCCTCCCAGAAGTAAATGCTACAACAGAGCATTAGACAGAGCCTGCGGCTCACCTGCAGTGGGGCCTCCCTGGGCTGATGGCATGAAGGCATCTGCTCCACTTCAACCAGTCCAATATTCTCTCTGCCTCACAGCCACGGTCACCCTGGGAAAATCTTCCCCACGCGCCTCTTCGGTGGAACTCAACATGCCTCTGGTCTGAAGCAACACATTCATGAATTCCTGCCTGCCCAAATCAATATTTTTAAATGTTAAAATGCCTAAGCTTATATTTTAACTTTCATTTATAAAATTCTTTGATTTCTTACATCAAAGTTTTGTATTTTTCTGTGTAGAGATCCTACATATCTTTGTTAGATTTATACCTAAGATTTTGATTACTTCAGTGTTATTTGTGAATGATGTTGTGGTTTTCATTTAACGTTTTTGTTTATTTACTGATGATATATAGGAAAGCCATTTCTCTGTGTATTTTAATTTTGCATCTTACAATTTTGTATACATTATTATTTTTAGCACTTTTTATTTCATTCTTTGGGGTTTTCTACATAGACAATCATGTCATTTGTGAACAGACATCTTATTTCTTCCTTCTAAATATATGTACCTTTTATATCCTTTTCTTGTTTTGTTGAGCCAGCTATAACTTCCAGTTGAGGACATATCTGAGGATATATATGATATATGATGCTGAGAGATGTTGGTGTTTGGAGGCAAATATGATTAAAAGTAAAATCTACCAACACATTGGAAGTAGGTAAAGAAAGTACTTTTATTATTCAGTAAACATTAAACCAGAATATGCTGCACATCTCAGGGCTTGTAGCAACAAATGCAAAGACAGGAAGGAATCTCCCTCCTGTGTACAATCAAGCAGACACAACTCACTGCAGAGCTGATTTCAAGACCATTTCCGTGACTGTGTCCTTGTGCTTCCCCCTTGTCTTTATGAGAAGAGTGTCTGACACCTTTCATGTGCTGCCCTCTTCAAACTGCTACATGAATGCTGTCACCTGGCTGCTTCCGGTCAGCGAATACACACAGTGCAGACATGGGGCTGGGACATTTCTGCTGACTTCAGGGAACCTCCGCTCTGTGCTTCTCCATTGCCACCGCACAATCTTTTGCACTGCAGCCTGGGGCTCTCTAGTCCCATGCCCAACCTGGTCACAAGTGTAATCCTGGAGATCCCTGTCCAGGCCTGCTCCCTCTCCTTGTCCCTGGAAGCCATTCCCCAATACCTTTGTTTCTATCCACTTTCTGGTGGCATCTGCTTCTTCAAGGGCCCCAACAGGCACACGTGATGACCCTGTGTGCCCACCCTGCCCCTCTGTGAGGAGGATGGGTGCTAATGGTTCCTCAATAGGACTCAGGGACCGCCCACTTCCTGTAGGGTTTGTGAGGGGAGTGCTCTGTCCGGCTATGTCTGATCTGTGTTCCTGAATAAGGAGTTTCTTCACCCACCTCAACTTCCAGAGTTGGATATTTTTGCTGTTTCTAAAATACTTCATTAGCTTTTCGTGAATTCTAAATATTCAGTGTTTTCCCTAAGGACAATGGCAGCAGCCTAAGCACTGTGTGTTTTGCCTATGGGCAGGGGAGCAAGTTAAATCCAAGCACCTAGGCTCCTTGAAAGATAAAGAGTAAAATTCTTGCTATTGATGCCATCGTTAGAAATACATCATTTCAATAAATCCTCCTCTTTTCACCCTGAGCTTGGAGCCAGTCTGCCATTCTGTGGGCAGACATGGCATGGCTTTGAGGGCCCCCACAAAGTGTTTGCTTGTCCCCCTCCTTGTCCTGAACCCATCTGCTTTCTGAACAGAGAGGCACTGAGGCCCCTCCTGCCTCCATAGCCTCCCCACAGCCCGTAACATTCTTGTCTTTGACACTTATATTTATTCCTTCTTATGTTTCAGTTCTGGGTGGTCCGGGGAGTAGGGGACATTAACCCCATTTGCCTACACCATTACCTTCCAGAAGAAGCGCCTCACAGAATAGTACCTGGAGAAACAAGGCCAGTCTAAATGAAAGGGAACTGAACATTCTTTTCCCACAATCTCAGAATATCAGGGCTGAAAAGTATTTTTGAGATCAGCTAATCTGGTTTCACAAGGAGGCAGATGAAACGCTGTGTCCTTCCACACATGAGCACCCCTTCCCCAGCAGTGCTGAGCTGGCATTTCTAGTGTCCAGCTCCCTCCCATCACGCTGCATCCCAGAGAGCACTCATCAAGAAATGTAAGCTTCAGTGACCCAGAGCCACTCTGTGCCCACAAACAGAGCCGCTCCTCCACCTGGAGCTTCCTCTTGGCACCTGCTCTGTTTCTCGCCAGCAGCCTTGTGCCATGAGGATCTGTGTGCTTCTCTTAGCCATTTCTCTTCTGCTCTACCAAGACACTCCAGGTAAAAAGAGGCACTTAGCTAGAAACATGCACAGCTGGAGAGGCTGGGTGGTAGAGAAACACCTTGATTAAGAAAATGAATCCTGAAAGATACAGCAACCTTCTTCTGTCTCAGCATTTACTTCTTTGGCTTCATTGGATCCATCCGTGAAACAAACATGGTACATGGCTGTCCAGAGAGTGGCTTCCTGGCAGTTAGGTTCACCGGCTCAAGGAGGAAAGACTGGGTAGGTAACTCAGAAGGCAGGCTGACCCCAGCGGCTGGAGGTCGGAATTCCTCGTGGGCTCCTAGGTCATGGAGACTCACTGGCCATACTCACCCCATTTGGGCAGCTGCAGTTACCCATTGCTGATTTTACAAAATGAGGTGCTTTTTTCATCCCCCTTCTTCTGAACAGCTTTACTTTGCACAGAAAGGGGACCTACTCATTCTCCCAAATTTGAAACCTTTTCCTGTCACACCAGAATTGTCAGGATTAAGAGGAATGCAGTAGTTTTGGGAGGAAAAGAAGTAATTTATTGGTCATGCAAGTGGGAGGCACTGCTGGACTCCAGGGAGGAAATTCCAAAGTTGGACTGAGATGTCGGCTAATCTATGAGCCCAGAAGCACACAGCTTTACAGTATAAGATTTGGAACATTCATGAAAGATCATAGAGTCTAATTCCCCCCTTTTAAAAGCTGAGCCAAATGCTTTATAGTTCAGGGAAGACAAACCACTTTCTCAGAATCGCTCAACAAACTGATCTGTACTGGGGCCAAACCAGTGGTGTCGACTCCCAGATCCTGTCCTGTCCTCTTCCGTGTGATGCCCAGACTAGGAATTCCCCATCTCTGCAGGTGCTCAGTCCACCCTGTCTCCTTCCGTGCTGTCTGCTGGTTCAGATAGGTTCATCTTCTCTGGGGTGAGGTCTCTAACTCTTCCTTGCCTTTCTTCTGGGCCCCTCTCACAGCTCACTGCAGAAGGGCCCTGCAGTTCCCCTCGCCCTCCCATCTCCTGTCCTGTTGCCAGGCGCCCACAGTCTGGGAGTGCGAGCTGACCTGGTGGAAAGGCTGCCTTCTTTCTCCAAGAGCCTTCCTGAGACTGAAGCCCACGTCTCCTGCGGAGCAGGGCTCTCCCCTAATCTAGGTGCCTTGCTCTGCTCACTCTCATCTAGTCTGTTCTAGCCCAGTCTTCCAACGATTTCCTCAGCAGAAACTTAGGAGGCACTTGCTTTGTGCCCAGTGTGGGGTGTGTGATGCTGAGCAATATGAACAAGGTCCTCACACACAGGGAGCTGACAGTTCAATTGAGAAGACCAAGAAATAAATCTAAAAAATATGTAACTACAACTTAGGGTAGAAGATATTAATGAATAAAATGCATGCGGGGAAAAAATAGTTTGGGGCATTTAACTGTGTGCGGAGGAGTTGAGAGATGAAGGCCCAGACTGCTCATGCACAGGAAGTGGGGAAAGCTCGACAGGGGGAGAAGCAGCTCCAGTGAAGGTGCCAAGAGAGCCCAGAGCCAGGACACGAAGAACAGGAGGGACCCAAGCAGTCCCTAAGTGTGATTAAAATATCCAGTGAATACTCCACAAGGATTGCTACAATAAAAGTCATACTGCCAATAACCCCCCTCAAGATATCCCGGCTCTTGAAGTGTATCCCATCCTTCTCACCACTGTCTGAGCAGTTCTGGAAGTCCTCTTCCATGCATGTCTCTGTGAGGGTTGATCAGAAATGCGAATGCTGCTGCTGAACGCCATCCAACACAAAGGCAGGGGCATAAAAACATGGCAGTCTGTCCTCATCTACCTCATTCACTAGATCTGGAGCCATGGGACTTATGACTTTTCCCCAAAGTCAAAATGACTGTGAAAGACAAACTTTTGATCAATTCAGGACACGGAGGCAGACATGACAGCACAATTAAGACACTCACAAAAGAGGAGTCCAGAACTGCTTCTGACAGAGACAGGTGGGATAAGATGGGATAAGTGTGTTCAAAGCAAGGGGGGAGATGAAGGGACTAGATGGCAATGTGTTTTTAATCGTAATAAATATTTTAAAATGTAAACATTCACTCTCATTTTCGATCTTACCTTATACAGTAGAGTGTAGGCCACAGCAGGGCAACACATCAGACAGCTTTGTAGACTTGGAGAGGGCCTTGGTTGGATTTAATTTAAATCTACCGCTCAGCCAGTGCAGGATTCTAAGAAAGGCTGACACCGACATGAGGGAGGGTGGGTGGAGGGGAAGGCTCCCCTGAGCAGCCTATGTAGCTCCTGTAGCCGTTCACCCTGAAGCCCGCTCCAAAGTCTTGCCTTTCCACCTTGAGGCACAACTAATCATCCTGACTTTTCCTACTGTCCAGTGAGAAGTGATCTGGAAGTGGACAGAATATGTGGCTACGGGACTGCTCGCTGCCACAGAAAGTGTAAAAGTCAGGAACATAAAATTGCAAGATGTCCCAACACCTATGCTTGCTGCCTGAAAACCTGGGCTCACAGCTCACTGAACATCAAGAGACCCTGACTCCAGGGGCCAATCCCTGGAGCCCTGGGGATCCCCAGAGCAGCCTCTATCCAGTCACCAAGGAGGGCTGCTGGTCGCTCAGGACAAAGCCACCACCCCAGAGGACCCCCGTGGAGCAGGGCTCCGCCTTCTGAGCCCCCTTGGGCCTGCTCTGCTTGTGATTTGGGGGTCTAGCAATGAAAGTTATGCATGAGATTGGACGTTGTAAAAGCTTCACAAAAATATATCTACATACCTATCACCACCCATGAGCCAAAGTAAAGCAACACTTTTCGTTGTTTGTTTGAATTATTCCAATTTATCTGGAAGACACTAGTTTTCTGATCAGAAATTCTGTTTGGGAGTTATACGTCTATTCTTAATTAAAATGGAAAATAAATCAATGTTAAATCCAGTTTGTTTGGAATACACTGTGTTTCGAAACACAAAGACCGCAGAAGAGAAAAACAGGCTGGGAAAGGAGGTGAGAGGCCTCCGGGATCCCCTTGTAACCTAGGGCCTGATCAGGTCGGGATCTGAGGGGCGGCGCGGCCAGCAGAGGGCAGCAGAGGGCAGCAGAGAGCGGCTCCCCTGGAAGCCGGTGAAGGGGGAGGTGCAGCGTAGGCCTGGCCTGGTCCAAGGCCTGTGCAGGGTAAACAAACGGTTTGGGAGGAAAAGCTTTCCTGGGCCAAAGGAGTCCAGCGGGAAGTGAGGAACGTCACAATTTGAAGAACACACAGCGAAATCCTGATCTACCTAGTGAATATCAACCGCCGTCCAAACAAGCACAGAAAGACGACCCAATATGGGGCCTCCTTGCTGATGCAGTGTTCCCTGGAGCTCCAGGGCACGGGAGCAGCATCAGAACCCGCTTTCAGGGACAGACACCCAGGCTGGACTGTGCCCCCCCGTGCCCCAGGCAACACGCTGAACCTCCGCAGGCCAGAGACCCCCCATGAGCTCCCCTCTCCTTGATTATTTCAGAGGATAATAAATTATTTTAATGTCATCCATTTTAAAATACTTTGCGTTGCATAACTCAGAGAAAAATGCTAAGAAAATATGACCATAATTCTACTAACCAGCAATGGCAAAGATCAATACTATTTCCCTAATAGAATTCATCGTTATTCGGTGTTCAGATGATCCTCACTGCTGCACGAGGTCCTTTTGGAGAGTCGCTTCCTCAGAAGCAGGATTCTGAAAGCTCCACACACCTCGCTGGCTGTCCCCAAGGCCTCTTGCATAGAGGGTGCTGCATACTGCTATTCCACTTGGGAAACACTGTGCCACGTTGACCGCACGTCTGACCAGACCTCTCTGTATCACCCCCATAGTCAAGGGGCAGAGGGGAGCCTGTCAAACAACCCTGAAGCAGCCACAGTCCAAATGCAGGGTGCAGGACATAGGCAGCACTGTGTGACGTGCATTTCCTCTCTTGCACTGTGTTACTGTCCACTTCATTGGTCTCACACTCTGTATCTTGCCGTGTATTTTCACATTCCTCATCTGACACTCACAATAAGCTCTCGAATCAGACATGCAGACATGGAGAGTGACATCTTCTATCCCCTTCTATGTGTGGAAACTATGGCTCCCATGGCTTAGTGGCTTTGCAAAAGTCAGCTAGAATAGAGGACAAATCAGACCTCCACCCACGTCTTCAGCACAGATCAGAGGCAGCGAAGCATGTCGGGTTCAATGCATGGCGCTTGGAATCCCAGCAGGGCCACTCAGAAAGTCACCTCAAGGTTGCTTCACTGCCTGGAACCTTGACTCCCAGTGCACAATGTGGGCATTCTACTTAGCAATGCTTAAAAACAGACCGAAGTCTGGCCCTATAGAAATATGTTTGGATTTCTTTCTTAAAATCAGAGTGATGCTTTACTGAGAGAAAAGCCACTCATATTTCTCAAAATAACAACAAAGCAAAGCCAGGGTCTTCTACAGACTTTAATCAATACCATGAGCAATAATGACTGGTGATAACAAGCAGAAAAGAAAACCACATCATCATCAGGTGAAGTGAGTGTGGCCTTATGTCCTGAAATGCTAACACTGCTATTTATCTTCTTTCTCTAAAAAATGGAACAGAGCTGAGGATTGCATTCACGGTTGAAGATAAGTAACCCTTTGAAAGTAGCCCAAGGAAAAGCACTAAAGAGAATGGTATCAGCACAATTCATGATCGCTAAGTCTTAGAAGTAGCCCATATGTTGGTCAACAAATTAAGGGATATATGAAATGTGGTATTTACACAACACGGAGCACTACTCTGCCATAAACTTGATAAACGAGTCATTTGTAAGAAAATGAATCCACCTTGAGACCTAATGTTAAATGAAATAAATCAGACACACAAGTTTAAATATCATACTGCCTCTCTTTTTTGACAAACCCAGGATAAAAATAGAGAGAAAAATAAAAGATAAATGACAGGGAGCTAGGTCATTCCCAAAGAGGAAGGAGATCCAGAGATGGAGGGAGGGGAGAGGCAAGGAGGGGTGAGGAGCTGCAATTGCGATGTGTTATGTGCCTGCACCAAGCCCATGCAGGAGTGCAGACACTGTGTCCCGCAAAGTTGTGCTGAAAAGGAGGGCATAGGGGGTGAGAAAGGAATCGCGACGTGTTCTGTCTGTGTGCCAACCTCCCACAAGGAATGTGAACATCTGTACTACACATGCAGTAGTATGCTACAATGGAAAAGAGAATGGTTGGGTCCAGGCATTTTTGAGCTTGTAATGTATGCGTTTTTGCATTATGTCATATCGAGAGAAAGAGAGAGAGAGAGCGCGAAGGTCAGCAGAGCAAGTATCTGAGAGGCAGAATCACCACCCCAGTCCTTCTTGGAAACACACAGGTGGGAGATTTTCAACACTGGTGCCTCCTCTTCCAAACTTCCCAAGTAACATCTCATCACATCCTAGAAAATGCGAATGCAGAGTATGTCGCCCAGTTCAGGCTCAGAATGGGTTTGACTGTTGCTCTATCAAATGAATCAAACAGAACCACCATGGGGGAGACTGGGGGTGGAGTCAGGTCAGGATTCCCCTGTGGGCCCTCTTATTCTTCAGCGTTGACTGTGATGTGCCAACACATGTGCAGTGACTCGACAGCTGCGTCCATGTAGCCAGCTGTGCCTGTGCAGGAGAAAGGACACCGGGCTGTGGGCCTTCCCGTCACTATAAAGCCCAGGTCAGTGGGTGCAGGAATGCAGGCCTGGGCAAGGAGTGGAGCTGGTCCACGACTGAGTCCAAGAGAAAATACTGCTAACTTCTGGAGACCGAAAAGGAGCCAAGCTGCTGCTCATTTATGAAAAATGAGGCAAAATGAATAAAAAACCAGGCAGGAGAAAGAGTTGCTATTCCTGTGAAAACATGTGTTCGTTTTTCTGTGTGACCACCAAGAACTGATGTTTTTCTTCTCTTTTTCTCTTTTTTAAGTGCTACAAAAACTCTACACATTTGCGTGGCACAGTGTGATAATTTGATCTGTGTATGCAAAGTGCATTGTGCAAATTAAAATAATTAGCACACCCATCTCCTTCAATACTCACCATTTCTTTGTGTTAGGAGCCTCTGACCTCCTCCCTTCCAGTTCTTTATAAAACGTATAATACGTTGCTGTAAACTGTGGTCACCACCTGCACTATGAGCACCAGGGCCCATGGCTCCACGCAACTGCTTTTGCGTCCCTTTGTTCCCCTCGCCCAACCTCTCTCTTCCCTCATCCTCCCTATCCTACTCTCCAGTGACCTCTTCTCTTCTTCACGTCTATGAAATTCTACTCCTTTCCAAATACATTTGCTTCCTTTTCCCTTAAGCACGGCTATTTCCCGATTCACCTGGAGTCCTTTCAGTCATCACAGTGTGTGCCCTGCACAGCTGGGTCTGGTCTTTGAGCTGTAATTCACACCGGTGTCTGTATCACTTTCTCCTTCATCTTCAGTTGCTTCTTCTAGCAGCTATTCAGACAGTCTGCAAGATCATTTCTAAGACAGTTTTCAGCTCTAAACTTTTATGATGGCTTCATCAGAATTGGCAAACTCAACAGAGTTATTTAAAATTATAACAATATTAAGTTTTTATTGCCAAAAGACAGGTGTTTGTCCCTCAGAACCCAGGTAAGAGGAGTTCTGATGTCCTTTTGCATATCATTTTAAGAGAACTCTTAGGCCAGCTGAAATCAAAGTGACTTCAGAAGGCCAAACTCACTCTGACTCTTTGCATGAAAACAAAACAGAATACCTGATAATATTCTTACCAGCAAACCTCCACTTCTCCATCCAGTTCTCTAAGCTCATCGTTTTGTCATTACCCAGAAGCTGTTTCCTCTCATTTTGTTTGATTCTTCATGACCTCACTGTCCAGAAAGCGCTCTCCTGTTTGAGCCTGTCTTTTCCATACGCCAAATTCTTAGTCCCAGAGAAACACAGATACCTAAGTAGAAGAGTTCTTCTCAACTGCTGTAGATTCATTAGTACATCATAATCTGAAATTCAAGAGTAAGAAAACCCAATAGGAATATTTTTTCATTCAGTTGTAATTCTCATCCAGAATAATTTTCTCCATTCTTTGATAATGCAATAGAGGAGCTCAAATTTGAATGTACAGAAACTTCTGAGTCGAAACTGGGTTCTACTGGAGATTCCCTTTTCATCCTCATATCTTTCAGGATTCACTGAGCTGCCGACTGGGAAGCAACAAGGAGGGTGTGCCAATGTTGAAAATTCCCACTCTGACATACCGGCATTTTCAAATTAGGTCCTAGGTTATTCACTGCAGAACTTCTTTGACAAGGGAGTCTATGTTATTTTAACTTTAATTCACCTAGTTGGTCCAAATGAATCAAGATCTCACATAGTCATCAACTTTTTAAAGGGAATGCCATTTACTGGACAAAAGAGTTTGAGCCCATGATCACAATATTCTACAATGGTCTCTTCCATGGCCATCAATGTGACCCATGGACAGGACACTGGTAGAAGCAGAATGGCAGCTTCATTTATGTCATGTACTGGT